ATGTTCTATATTTAAATCCTGATAGTGCCTTTCTACCAAAGATTTGAACTATGATAGAAGGTAACCACTATTTTTCACCAAATATGTTACTTAACTATTTATTGTTCTTAAGAACACTTTGTGGTTTGTCAAGACTGTTCATTCTTCTATCACATGAATAGAATCTTTCAGAGGGCTTTGAAAAGGTTATGTATACTTTACATCTTCTTTGCATCACTGATCTTGCTTCATTCATAATAACGAATTGGCTTATGCAGCTGGCTCATCTTGTATGTAGTAATGTACTTGTACACCTTATAAGTGAAGTTTTGGTTACATATTATCAAATTCGACACTCGGTGATGCATTTGTCTTCCCAGTTTCAGTACCTGTTAGAGGACATCTTAGAGGTTGGCATGTGGAAAAATTCAAATCCATTTCTAAAATTTTAATTTACATTGCTTTTCTCTCAGGTTCAGGATTCCATTTGTTATGTGTGGTTATTCTTCAAACCATATGAAATCCATATTTATTCTCTGTCATGTTCTATTATTCTGGCCAGTGCCCAAATTAACATTCATACAAGTGTATAAGGTTGAGAAGTAATTTAGCTGAAATATAAAAGAAAAACTGGTCTCTCCTGCTTTAAGAGATTTTACATTTATACAGATCATTACAGCCTGGACTTTTGCAGGTTATTACGTATCCCTGTTTTTTGTCCTTCTCAGGTTTGAATAATTTGCAGTCTTTCCTTCTTTTTTGTGATTCTGCATTAATCTCAATTCATCCAGTCAGGATTTTTGCCTTCCATTTATACATTTGTGGATACACTTCTTCTGTTTTGGTGTTTTATGAGAGGGTAATGCCCTCTGGAATGGACAGATGATGCATCTTGTGGCTAATGATGTTTCAGCAGGTAACTTTCTCACTTCTCTGTGTGCATATGCTTTATGTGTTTGGTGTTTACATTGCACTGTCGTTGAGTCCCATGCTTGGGTCAGCTAAGGTCTTTATTTGGTTCTTTGTAAATATCCATTGATTTGGCCAGTTTTGTTACTCACTGTATTTCAGAGGTAAGTATGTGTTTAAAACTCATATACATTTCAAACAGATACTTACCTCTGAAATACATTCCCACCCTCTCCCCTCCAAAAAATATTCAGGGAATTTGCAATTTTTCCATCATGACTGCAACTAAAAAGTATGATATATGGTGGGAAAGTAGAGTTTATGTCAGTTCACCTGATATGCAGAAATAAGTCGTGTAGAAGCTGGGATAGTGGAGAATTATTGGTAAGTTGATGCAGGCTCTGCATTGAATTAGTGACATTCAGAACTTTAAATCATATGGTTGTTAAGCATGTGAACAACTCAACAAGAAAAGTTATCAGTATTTCAGAGGTAATGACCCTTTTTTAATATTAATTTTAATCCTAAAATTAGAACATTAAAGAAGTTTCACATTTTTTTAAAAGGTTGAGTATTAAAACGATTTTGGAACCTCATGATGTCATTAAAATCCATGTTGCCATATCTGACATATTACCCTATCTGACAATAAATAGCATTGCAACATAGCTTCCATTGCAAAAGGCTGTCATGTTCAAAACACACACCACTCCTTCAGAATGGTTTCGTCCCCCGGTGGGACAGTGGTACGTCTTTGGATTTACAATGCTAAAATCAGGGGTTTGATTCCCTTCAGTGGACACAGCAGATAGACTAATGTGTCTTTGCTATGAAAAACACCTGTCCTAATGGTTTCTATAATCTATCTAATGTTGGAAGACATTGATGTTCCACCACCCTTATCTACAGTCCAATTGCACAGAAATCCTTTGGTGCTGCATGTCTTTGTATGAAGTAGTATTAATACCTGTTTTGTTCTCTAACTGCTTGAGTTATGCAACAGTTGAACAGATATATTATAGAAGCAACCTGTGTGCATGTGACTTGTGTCACTTTTTCATATGCAGATCCTTTATTATGTTATGTAGAGCTGCATGAGACACTTTGGCTGCTTTTACCACTGACCTTTTGTGTTCTTGGATACTTTTGTTACAAGATGCTTAACTTTAGATGGGGAATAACTTTTTGCTGGTATTTTTTTCTGGAAGGTTCTGATGCTAAAGAGTTATCCATATTCCATTGTTTTCCAAAGGACATATCCGTCTTGGAAATTTTAAATCTCTTATGTGCTGGAAAATTCTTTTACATATTCTTCCCAAAAGCAATAAATTTTCAGTGACATCACACTACTTATGAAATGACAAAAAGTGCCAAAATTTAGTTCTGATACATGTCATTCCACCATAACCTTGTGTCAGTTGTGATTGTGATGTAACTTGCTGATTTACACATTCAAGAGAATTTTAATATAGTGTACTCAATCCTATGTATTCATTGTTTGATTTGGAGTTTCCTTTAAATACATTTAGAGCTCAAGGGTAAAAACATCCAAATATCAAAAAAGTGAAAATTGATCAGTACATATACAAAGTTTTTTTAACGTAACTAAAGCTTGGATAATAATGACATTAGCATGCAATTTTTTTTTTGACTAATCCTTTATACTTGCTTTAAATTATTCCATTGTTCATTGATAAAAGAATGTAAAACATGGACTGCCATGTGGGCTAATTATTTGGTGTTCGACTTAATCCAGTTAACAATAGATTTATTTAAAAATCCAGGTTTACAGTTGCAAGTGGAGTACACAAGTTACTAACTCTATGAAGTTTACAGTTAGAATAAAGAATTGACTCAGTGACTGAAATCCAAAACACAAACAACACTTTAATGCAATATATTAAGATTCTCGGCTACATCGAGATTACTGAGGATATCTTGAAACTTTTCACTGTTAAAACTATTAAATTCTTAAATCTGAGCAGTTAATGGTACTTCAATTAAACTTTCTATAATATCCATGTCATTTTTGTTAATTCTTTAATATTAAACTCTGTACATTCAGTTTCTAACTACATTATTTGACTCTGAGAGAGATAACAATAGTTACTTACGGAGCTTGAGTGGGAAATCTTAAACATCTTCAACATTGTTATGGGAACTGACATAGTTGATTTAGGCAGCATCAGTTTTTTCTTCAACCAGCAGCAGGTTGTTTGGCTTTTTCATATGATCCCAGAGACTGACTTTTAGCCCCCAAACATGGCTTTTTATATGGATTTCTTTATTATACTTATGATCCTTCAAATAGTGTACACATCCAACTTGCACATTGATCTGTCACTTAATTGGATGAGTTTTGTTAACTAATCATAATTCTCGAAACTAAAACCAAAACTAATTCAGCAATTGGTTGGGATTGAAGACAGTAAATTGGCAGGTTTGTCATATATTTCTACTGATCCTCCTCAGATCAAAGATCTGCACAGAGTCTCTGATTTCCTTGCTAATTCCTTTTATGGAAGTTGTGTCCAGTCTCTAATGGAGCTTATATAAACTTTCTCATAGCTTTCTCTCTGCTGCTATGGCATCAGTCTACAGATAATGTAAACAGCTGTTTCTCAATACTGTCTCAAATGCATCTTAACTTATACTTGACATATACATTTCCTTTCTTGGTCAAGCATAATTGTGTAACTCTTCATATGCATTCATTACATGTGCCTGACTTTTCTTCATATTGCATACATTCATACATGTAATTTTATATTTTTCATTTCTTGAAGCATTTGAATATAGCATAAAATGCTTCAAAAACAAGTTTTCTGCATTCTATGGATATTTCAAATTTTTATAATTGTTATAAAATATCATATTTTTCTTTAGCAGTATTTCTGTTATGTGTCACTTCAGTTAAATAGACAAACACTAGTTGCCAAGACATTTTTGTTGTTTTTAAGTTTTATGTATTTAGATAATTAAAATATACAAGAGAAGTGTTTTGTTTTAAGTCATGTGTATAAAACTTTATCATAGGAATAATGTGATAGAAGAGACTAAGGAGATAGTTTGAAGTGTAAGAAGTTTTGTTTGTATATATATATATATATATATGTTCTGTGGTGGTGCTTAACTTTTTCAAGGTTATGTAGTTTCAGAATCCTGTATAAATAAACAATAATATAATAATGTTTTGGATGGCAGGATTTTCCAGTGGTGTAAATACTGCAGTATAATTGTCTTAAACTATTTAATATTTACATAAATGGTATTATGATAGGTTATGAATTAGATGGAAGATGTCAAATTATTGAGTGATCAAATTCAGTTTTAGTCTTTCACATTTGATAAATGCATGAGAGTGGTAAACAGCCTCTGCCAAACAGTCCATTAGGGCTGTCAGCAGGCTGATGTTGTATCTCGATTTTTTTTTTATGAAAGTTAATTTGTTTTGACTGAATTTTACTGTTTTTCTTTCAACAAAACAGTTTCACTGGCTAAACTGAGGCCTGTTCACAGTGTGCCACTGAACCATGATGACCCCGATCAATATGGCAGCCCTTGTGACCTCTTGTCATACTGAAAGTAGCTCATCAAATGCAATTTAGGTCACAATCAAATTTGCTAAAACTCTTCTTGCTAGTCTGAATTTGCTAATAATTAATATCCAATTTTATAATTTAAACTTTAAAATATTGACTCACTCAGTTACAAATATGCGATGTCTGTGTATAACCACATAGTTTGAATTTGTCGTATTATGGCCAGTGCTATGACAAATAATAACGGAATCTGAATTCAAAAGTTATTTTTTTTTATAAGAATAAAAGGAGTAGTAGTGGGAATCATGACAGCCTTGACAAGGGCTCTAACAAGCCCTCAGAAATCTCATTTTACAGGTGCTTTTGAGTGTCAGTGTGATAAGCCCCATCAAATGTGATGGACTGCACTTTTTTGTGTATTTTGCTTGTTGAATTCATAATAAAAATCCAGAATCATACAGCAGAATGTTATATATGTGTGTGTGTTATTAAAATAAGTTTTTTCTTTTTTTTTCCTTGAAAAACTATAACTGATGTATTTTTAATAATTATTTTTTTGTAATTGTAAAGATCTTTCATCGTCGTTTGTCATCAAGAAGCATTGTAGTGGTTGATGGCTGTATTCCAAAAGTTACTAACTTTGGTTTGGCTTGCTTTAACCCTCTGGGGAAGGTATGATAATTAGTTTCTATTGTTGAACCTGTTAGTTATATGCTAACTGTATTAGCTTTCAGTTTTCCCTAGAATAGTAAAAGTATTAAAAGCTTTTATTTAAGTTATTTTTATCTTCTTTTTAAACAGTTTTTAATAGAAATCACACATTATTTAAATTGTGATATTAATTAGTTGCAGTTTGTATATATGTTTTTGTGGGATTTGAAATGAAAATCAGTGTTATATTTTTCCTGAAATTTGTTAAGGGTATAAAACTGCTGAAATTACAAAAACTTACAGAAAACTGACTTCGTCAGAACTTTATACTTACCAAGACTTGAATGTTTGGGGTCATCTTGTGTATAATTTAAACTGCTAACTTCATTACCAATATGCATTATAGCATTCAGTAGCATCTATATAAACTTACTAAGTCATTTTTATTTATTCAGTATGGAAATAGAACCTCAGCAGTAAGCTTGAGGCTTGTAATGGTAAAATTCTGAGTTCAATTTTTGTGATGGATGTAATGCAGATAGCCCATTGTTGCAGATTTGTGTTTAAACCAAAAGAAACAATTTGTAGAGTAATGTGTGTTTTGTATTATCGTAATAAAAAAAAAGTAAACTGTGTCCGTGTACATAATAAAGACATTTCTGCATTCATCATCATAAAAACCTTCTCTATCTCAGTTTTTGGTTAACTGGCAAGCAAGAATGTTGCCACTTAAGAAAGATTTTTTGACAATTTTTACATTTTAATAGTCATTGCATAGCTAAGATCATAATGGTGACCAGCATATAAAATACATTAGTTTCTAGTTGAAAGTGTATTAAAGACTTTTGTGTTTCCAGCAGTTTCTTAAAAAAAGCAGTAGATTTTTGTTCAATATAATTTACTCAAAAAAACAAACTAGTAATTTTATTCAAACTCCTCAAAATACTTATTATGATATACGAAGCTAGAGATATTCTTTTTCTGATAGACAGTTTGTGTGTGTGATATCCTAGATTAGTGAGAGAGAGAGAGAGAGAGAGATGAATTACAAAATATAATTATATGTAACTGATTTAATGAAAATAAGAAAGTATGATAAGAAATGAGAAATAATGACCCGTTCATTGTCTCTTTTTATACTTAATTTTTGAGTTAATTGTAAAAAGGGTTTTGGAAATGTAAATGGAACAAGTATGTGGCTCTAAATCTTATGTTTTACAGCAACCTGATTATACCCGTTGGACAGCACCTGAAGCTTTAAGATCATGTAACTACAATTTTGCAAGCGATGTGTGAGTTTAAACTTCTATATATATGTATTTGTATACATTTGGTTTTAAAGGATTTTAAACAGTGAGAAAATTATTACAGAATCTGTTGGATTTTATCTTAAATACTTTTTTGATGAACTTAGTGTATTTCTATATACCATATTTATGTTTTTAACAAAATTATTTTGCATATAGTTTTTAAATTAAATTTTACAAATACAAATACAGTAATAAAAATGTTCCAATGCAAAAGCAAAAATCTGCTTCCTCGATTTTTGTTTAGTCATTCATGAGCTTCAGTTACTCTAGTGTTATATTTCAAAAATGAAAGGTCTAGTAATTCATCTAGGTTCTTAATATTCTGGATTATAACAATGAAAGATTTGTACGATGTTTTCAAGTCTACAATGAAACTATTATTTTTAATACTTATATATGTGTATAAAAAATATTTTTAAAATGATCTTGCTGGTGAAACAATTGTAAGTTTTTTTTTATTTTCAGCTGGTCGTATGGTGTCCTCTTGTGGGAGATTTTTACTTTGGGTCAGTATTGTGTCTACAGTCAGAAGTAACATTTATTTTGAAGTGGTAATGTTAAATGAATATTTGCTTTAAGTATTTATCATACAAAACGTAACCTGTTTTAGAATAAAGGTTATTAGCTGCATTATATATATATTAACTACAACACTGTTTGTGGAAAAGAGCGAAGAAGCTGAATTATGGAAACACTTTCTATCAGATATGTGAACAACAAATCAGGTAACACTTCAATTATAAGATTTCTGTTCCACAAAAAAGAATACAGTATCTCTATAAAAAAAAAAACTGTTTACTGCAAACAAGGTACTAACTACATTATATAACTTTAAACAACTATAATTCTACACACCAAGCCACCTAATATTTAGACTGATTTCAGTTTATTTTTGATGTTATTTTTTCCAGTAATTCTTTTATCAGTTTTACGTGTAAAATGATACATTTTTTTATGGTATTGCCTTGCATGGTGGTTCACAGTACCATACAGGTTTTGTATGGCAAGTATATGGTGTTTCTCTTTATTAGTTCCATGTATAACATGCCATAGTTGTCTACAAAGCTGTTTTTAATGTAATAATACATTACATATCTGCATGGTGGGTCATGGTTGTCTAAAAGGCTTTAAATATATTTCAGAAATAAATGTTTTTCGGTCATGTTTAAGTTTTCCTAATGTATTAAAGAATAATAGCATCATTTGTACTTATAAATCCTAACACATATTTTATTAAGGAAATTAAAAAGATTAATAATAATTGAAAACAGAATATTGAAAATGTAGTTATTATGCAATTAGATCAAAAAGTTAGACTAATTCATTCAGTATTATCAATGAATATTATATAACAGTAATTGTTAACAGAGTCTTCATTTAAGTATAAAGTATCCAGGTTTTCTAACATAAGAGACAGAAAAAGTTAGGAAGGATCATCCAGTTGTCATTTAATACAGGAAAAAAATGTGATTAAGCTGTGTTTTGTGGGTTATCTAGGTTTAGTAGACAACAGAACTACTTTATCAATAATACAATTGAATGTACTTTGTAATCTAAAGTGAAACAGGAAAAAAGTTAGTGTGTAATACTTATTTAATTTTATTAATAGTATGAATCTTTCGTACTGTGTGGCTAAAATATATGTGGCTGATAAGCATGATTTTGTTACATATAGGAAAAGGACTTATTAGCTAGTGTTAGTACCTGTTGATCAGTAACTTTGTGTTTAACTTGTAAAGGTGGCACACCATATGGCTCAGTTCCGTCCAAGGATGTGTCGTCAAGAGTCCTGCGTGGTATGAAGTTGACTCAGCCAAAGGGTGTATCAGATGAACTGTAAGACTCATTGTATCATTGTGTAAAAAGAAAAATAATTCTTTAACTTACAGAGCTTAATATTTTTTGTGAATGTTATTGATTTTTTTATAGAAATTTGAGAAACCATTTTTTTCCTAATATTCATATTGTTATGAGATATGTTTCGATCTTATTTGACATTTTTATTCTGCTCTTTGTTTATTCTAGCCTTGTTATACTATAGCCATTAGAAATTATTGTATTGTTTTATTTAACTCTTTGACTATGGTCTAGGTGGATTCCACCCAGCCCATATCCACCAAAGGAACCATAAAGCAGATATACTGTAACTTTTTGAATGTATGTGTATCTTCATTAAATTTTGCAGATTATCAGTACACATTACAAAGTTTTCATACACAAAATGTAAGATTTTTTTAATTAATGATTTGCTTGTGCATTCTTTCTTTTCACATGTTGCCTATCCAACATGCAAAGTAATTTTGATTTTAAGATTACAAATACCTTGATGTATCAGTAAGTTGTCAAGTTCCATTTGTGAAATCTTTATAACCTCCAAATAGTTATCAATTTTTTTTTAAAACTATATATGTTAGTTCCTCTATCTTATATCTGTATGGGTTGGGTCAATTTGACTAACCTCATAACCACTATAAAAATTAGGAAATAGATCTAAGTTGCACTTTTGTTGTTCTAGAATGACTACAAATTATAACACAAAATCACAAATGTTTATTCTAAATAGCTTAAATCTCATAACATTATACATTTATATATATACATGTGCGTGTGTGTGATTAAGAACTTGTCTGTCTTTTTAAATACAATAACTTATTATGAATATTTTTTATAATACTTTCTTAAAAAAATTATGTTCAAACTCAGAGTTGGTAAATCATATGATTGTTTATTTTACTGTTATTAACTATTTATGGAACTGTGTAAAGTTGATAAATATAACGATTTTTTAAGGAGGAAAAATTATCAAAATGCTGAACCTTTTCTTGGAAAATTCAGTGTGTATCTAAAAACTGATTTATATGATCTAATATTCAAATCTTACTTCACATTCACAAGATGTTCAAATGTCCTCACAAATGACAATCTCATTCCAATATACTTTAATGTGAGCATTGTTTTATTTATGTGTATGTTTATTATTTTTATTTTATTGACCTTTTAGCCATTTCTGATTAACATTACAGAAGATGCACACAGGCATATGCAGCTTTATGTTATAATATCCAGTAGTATAAAACAGTTCTTCACAAATTGCAACTGTCTTAGCTTTGTTCTAGTGGACCATTATTTTGTAGAATACAATCACATTTCAGTTATAATACATTACTTATGTATATATATAATATTACTATTTAAAAATACATTCTTCAATTTCAGTTAATTTTCTTAAAACATAGAACAATAAATAAATAAATATAGAAAACAATGATTTCTTCTACTTACGAAATTTGTACTCACTTGCAGTACTTTGCTAAGCCTTGTCAAATTTTGCATGTGGAGTATGTAAAACAAAATAAATTCTTTAGGTTTTAATCATAAATTACTATATCAGCACCACACAATTCCACTGGAATTTATCAGGGTTACTAACTAAGCTATATTTGGATCTAAAAAATTATAATGTTTTGAACAATCTCTCATCTTACCTATTCTCTGCGAGTCTACAAAGAAAAAGACAGTTTTTCCTACAGAAACACTTTGTAAAGGCTGAGAAAACCACATGGGGGAAATTTTGAGCTTTAGATTGGTTATAAACATGTCATAGAGTGAAATAGGTGTACGTAAACAAGCATTTCCAAAGACTGAAGAGGTTAAAATCATAAATGATATTCAATGTTAAATTGGTACACGATTAAAAACATTTTATTTAAGCCTATCTATGGCCTTCAAGAAGTTGACGACTCTACATGTTTCGATGTTACAACGTCATTCTCAGGAGTGAATTACAAGACAATTGCCAAAGTATTTATAACTTGTTAGTAGGTCATTGACCTGTATGTTATATTTCATACACTCGTGCTAAACCATTCAAAGGAGATCAATCCATATTCTTGCAGAAATATTCGCCATACCTTCATCTCTATTTAATACCGCATGATCTTTTTTGTGTTTTATTATTTCTAATGATTCACGAATATTATCACCTATTAATATGGTGACATTGTAACTTCGAAACATGTAGAGTCGTCAACTTTTTGAAGGCCATAGATAAGCCTAAATAAAATGTTTTTAATTGTGTACCAGTTTAACGTTGAATATCATTTATGATTTTAACCTTTTCAGTCTTTGGAAATGCTTGTTTACAAATGAAACCATTCAAAAAGAAAAAATTAAAATCATAAATAATATTCTAATAAATACTATAATCGTTCAAAAGGAATAATCAAGATATAATTATTTCTAAATAAATAATTTTTTTGTTGGTTTGTTTGTCAAAGGTCCTACTCACTAATTAACAGCTAAGAAGAGGAATAAATACAATCCATTCTAACTGCTTCTGTACCATCTGGATCCTTAGAAAAGTCTAAATTGAACCAGAATGTTTAAGTTTGTGGGAGGTACTTGTAAGAAATTGGTGAAGCTTGGACTATTAGATGTATTTTGTTGAGCAATGGAAGTTTTACATACAAACACAAAATGATTAGTGTATGTGGTTAAAATGGTAATTCACAAAACTGAATTAATATCTAAACAGTGTTTATTGCTCTTAAACTAATTTTCACTAGGTTTGTTTTGTCCTCTGTTAGGCAAAAAATACATAAAGTCTATGTATGTGCGTATTTGACCAAAATATTGAGTTTTTGGTTTATTACTGCTGAGTAAGCAACTGATTTAAATTTAATTGGTATATCTTGGATTATTAAACCATACCATTTCTGTACTGTATTCATAAATTAAAGTATTCAAAAACTTCATTTCTGAAACACAGACACTTAAGACATAGAGTGGTAATGATTGAATATTTGAAGCTAAGTTAAATTGTTTGGGTAAAATATATAATTCATAATTAAATAAAAGCCACTAAATGAGGTATTGATAACAGGCACATCATAATGGAGTGTTTTATCATGGTATGGCCATGGTTAAAATCAAACTTTCAAAAGCAGTATTTTTAAAATTTTGTGAAAGTCCATAAAAGTCTACATGCATTTGCTTATTGTAAAATAGCATTGAACATTAAGCTTTAATTAATAAGATTTAATTAATTTTAATACATTTCTTGTTTTTTTAATTTTTTTTGTTGCTGTGTGACATATTTCAGTCTGTAGTTTTAATTATGTTTACACTGAACGTAATATAAATAAATATCAGTTATATTTATTGTTGTGATGTAACTTTTGGTACTTATAATACCTCACTGCATGTCTATCTTGATATCACCAGGAAGAAAGTTGACAGTTTTATTGATTAGCATTTTTGGTTGCCATTACATATTACTGTAAGATGAAGTGTAGAGTAAGTTGAGATGGTATTATTTCACATGTCTTGCAAAGTAGTATTTGGTGATCTTACATGTATTATTAAATATGATCTTTCAAATGGTTTGAATAATCAACCAAATGTTTTAAGATTCTTAATACTATATGACTAAAGATGGTCATTTTTTAGCTTTATAGATATTTACTGTAGTTATGAATTATATCAACTGACTTAAATCACCAGTGGTCAGACATGACCAGTGGTCAAGAAAGTGATCACTGGTAAATTATGATACTTATGTTTAAAATTGTAATTACATGAATTTCTAGTATATTTTACTTTCTTCTTTTAAGAATAAAGTAATGTTATTGGATTCATCATGTCAAACAAACTTCATAATATACCAGTAAATAAACCTTAACAGACAAAAGTTAAAGCAATGCTGTGAAGAAAAAGAAGCAGGTAAAGTAAGTGTAAGGTAATAAAAGTATGCAAATAGAAATCTTGGTACATGACTGAAATCCTAATTATGACATGCATAATAATAAATTTGATCAATTTCTGGGCCTCACTTCAGAATTTTCTTTACTTTCACTGTTATGTATATATAAGTAATGTAAACATCAATTATTTTTAAGTAACAGGTGGGCAGGTATGTAGATAAAATATTAATTATATCTGAATATATGATTTTATACATTTGTTTACAGTATGAGTTTTAGATTGTATTTTGAGTCTAATTTACATTAAGAATGGATTTTTGGACTTGACCTGTAAATATATGTTCTGTGCTCCTTAGAAAAAGTATGTACAACTGTTTCATAAAAAGCTGGCCTGGCATGGCCAGGTGGTTAGGCCGCTCGACTTGCAATCTGAGGGTCGCAGGTTCGAATCCCCATCACACCAAATTTGCTTGCCCTTTTAGCCATGGTAGTGTTATAATGTGATGGTCAATCTCACTATTCATTGATAAAAGACTAGCCCAAGAGTTGGCAGTGGGTGGTGATGACTAGCTACCTTCCCTCTGGTCTTACACTGCTAAATTAGGGACGGCTAGCACAGATAGTCCTCGTGTAGCTTTGCACGAAATTCAAAACAAACAAATAAATATAAAAAGCTCTTACTAATCTTTCACATATGAGCATATAGCCCTTAAATATTGAGGTAATGTCCATTATATAAAGACTCCATAAGTTCCAATTTACCAATGAGAGTTTTCGAAAAGCAGAAGCAACTACCAACTATCAAAGAAAGACTTTTGAGATAAAGCTAAAAGATTAAAGATTTACAATCTGTATAAAGAAGAAGAAAAAGAGACTTAAGGCAAGTGAGAAAGAAAATCATTTCAACTTGTAACATTAGAAAGTTCAATATTGGGAAACAAAAGTGCATTTGTAGAGTTTTTACACCACTTATTTCAAGAGTTCACTGTTTTCAAACTATTTGTGCTAGAAATAAGAACCGAACATGTACAAAGGTCACAGATTTACTCTGTCTTGAAAAATGTTACTTATGCTGGTGGGAAGTTTAATCATTATTATTAAAGCCTCAAATATTGTAATGGAGGCAAAAAAAAGTTAAGGTTAACATTTTGGACTTTTTATTTTACTATATTTCAAAGCAAATGTAAATAAAATATATATCAAAGAAAAACTAGATATGATCATCTTAGGTACAGTTTTATTTTGTAGATGATTTAAGGGGCTGATCAGAGATAGTTTTTGAAAACTTAACATTATATGCCCTTGTAACAAAGCATGAGACACCATGCTGGAAATGGTTAAACCATTCCTGTGAAAATTGGTATCATTTAGTTTTTACATCATAGGTAAAAAGATTAGTTATCAGAATTAAAACCAACATGAATAATGATTGTGATTATGTACAATCCAAACCAGTTAAAATCACTTGAAACTTGTTTGTTATATTGCATTGGATCATCAGTTGGGTACTCTTGCCATGAAGTGCTTCAGGAGATTTGGTCATTCTAGAGGAGTAGGATTAAGCCTAATTCATCACAATAAAATAAAAATTCAAGTTTCATTTTTTAAAGTATGAATTGTCATGATAACTAGATAGCTTGGAACCATCATAGTATAAGTTATTATGTTTTATTCACATTGTGATAAGATTTGTGAATTTTTAGTAAACAATAATATTACATATTATACATGTCATTTTTGTGTAGTTTCTTTTTTTCACATTTAAGAAGTTACATATATTTTTAAAATTAAATCCTTAGAGATTTTTATAATATGGATATTCTAACAAGGTGAGTTTAGTAAAAAAAGAAAAGCACTGAAATTTTGGAAGAAAATTAATGAATATTGAAAATCAAAAACTACAGTATGAACTACATTTTCAAAATTTTTATTACTGTTTTAATAGATACCAACTGATGCTACATTGCTGGGAATTAGATCTTGATGAGCGACCATCATTCCATGAATTATCTAGTATCACAAACAATATGCTGTCAGCTCCTCGGGTAAGACCATGCTTTCGTACTGTTATATGGTTCTCCTAAAAGTGTGACTAATGCTTTGTGAACATGATGTCAATGCTTATGTAAAGCTTCATTCATATGTTTTACAGTAATCAAATCATGCACTTCTGTTGTATTGAGTCCCCTAGTGGGACAGCGGTAAGTCTACAAATTTACATCACTAAAAGGGTTCGATTTCTCTCAGTGGACACAGCAGATAGCTTGATGTGATTTTGCTGTCAAAAACATACACGCTGCTGTACCAAATAAGTCAGCATAACAAAATGCTTTTAGCATCAAAATATAAATTACAAAGTGAAATACTGTACCATTTATCAGATATTGCAGGTTATCATATGTTTATAGTAGTTTGAGTTGTTAAAAAGTGCTTTACTGGCAAGTGCCTGTGGGTTAACCTGTTAGCTCAGTTGGTAGAGCAATTGTCTGATGTTTGAGATGTCACAGGTTCAAATCCTACCTGATGTAAACAACAATAAAAACTGGCACTCAGCATGTAGCCTCATTTGTGATAACGTGGTAGTCGTTAAAAAGAAGTGTCTTACTAGCAGAACAATTGGTAGAGCACTATACTGGGGAGTAATGTGTATCAGGTTCAAATCTGAGCTAATATGATCATGAAAAAATTTAAATTTCTTCAATAAAAACTGGCACCCAACATGGGGCCTTGTTTCTGATAATGGAAAAGTGCCTTACAAGCAACTGTTAGAGGGTTAAACCTTTAGCTTAGTTGGTAAAGGACTTGTGTGACACATCTTGGGATAAATACAAGGTGAGGAAATATAATGTAAAAAATAATTGGTATGTGTAATCATTATATGTTAATAGGACCACTTTTAACACCTATGTATATCTAAATTTGTTTTTATGTGGTTTCAATAAATGCAGGGTCTGGCATCCTGGGTATGAACAGTTTATGAAGGTAATAATAACTTCAAGAAACTTGTTAAGATTGTAATTAATAACATGATTCTACAGCATTATATATATATATTATATTATATAACCTATAAGCCATATAGCATGTGACTGTTTGTTCAATTATGCAATTATATCAAAATTCAGTTTCTAGAATTGAAGGTTTTAAGAGTTTGGTTTTAATACTTAGATATAAAGTAGTAGTTAATAGTTTAGGAGGTACATATGAATATAATAGAAAATAACATTATAGAAAGAGTTTAAAATATTTTTTTCATAAAATAATTATAGGAAATTTTTTTTCATCCCACAGGATAACTTACAGCTTGACCTTATCCCTGGTTTCCAGCATGAACCATTCATTCCAACAGCTGATGTTCTTTAAACAGCTAGAAGAATAATTTTTCTTTCAAGGGCCAAACACTGTAGCCAAGTTATATCACCTTGTCTGTATCTATGATCAGGGACTGTCTAACAGAAATTATTGTAACTAATTTCTTTGGTTAACTCAATGATTTCTGCTATTTGAATGTCATGTATAAATACCAAGTGTGTACCAGGCCCTGTATAATCCCATATATTGAAATATGTCTATACTCCTGCAGGTCTTGGTACTTACATAACTGTCAGTTCCTGTTTATTGATATATATAAAACTTTCCTTTCACTACCTATTGAAATTCATGCATATTAATATTATGATTATTGGTTATATTATATTTGTGCTAGGGATTAACTGGATCTACTTTCATATTCTATTCTATATTTGACAGCTAGTGAAAATCTCTTAATTCACTTATATGTGTAGGGTATGATTTTTATTTTAACCAATTATATAACATTTTCAGATTACACTGTGGTGAAAGCTTGTTTTAACATGTAGATGAAAAATGCTACGATGTTTTGAGTGGCATAAAATGACATATACATCTTATTACCTGGTGGGAAGAGGTAAAGCTGATGTAAACTAATTAACAAAAAAAAATATTTCTAAATAACAGGTGGGCAGGTATATAAATAAAATATTAATTGTATTTGAATATATGATTTTATACATTTGTTTTACAGTATAAGTTTTAGATTGTATTTTGAGTCTAATTTATATTAAGAATGGATTTTTGGGCTTGACCTGTAAATGCTGCTAGCTTTCAGGTTTGAAAAGAAAAATACTGTTTTTCTCATATGATAACATTATTTAGTAATACTATGTGAAAGTTAGAATTCAGTGTGTTATAAATGAGTTATATTTTTGTTTTTAATGAAACCATTATAATGGCATTTGTTCTAATATAATGTACATTTCTATTTTGTTATTTTCATACTTTGTGCTGTTGGTTTGTTAGCTGTGTAACTAAGATAGATCTGCCATTTTATGCTTGTCTTAGTCTTTTATACACTGTAAAATTTCATTAAGTCTGTAAAGCTAAAGTTTAAACCAATTACATGACAAACATTTAAACCAGTGATAGTTTGTATTAAAACTCTGTTGTCAAAATCTTTCGTAACCTTATTTTATGACATTAATTATATTTTAAGTGGTTATGGTATTTCAATTTTTTGAATAAATTTAGTGTTTGTTTTATTATTAAGGTTGTGTGTTTTGTTTTGGAAACTTGCATAAAATTATACAAGGGCTATCCATAATTTAGAACGGATAAACTATAGGGAAGGCAGCTAGTCAACAGCATCCACCTTCAACTCTTGGGCTACTTTAATCAATTAACAGGCTTTAACTGTCACTCTTATAATGTGTTCCATAATGCTGACCATGTTTTTGTGGCAATAGGACACAATTCATGGACCCTCAGGTTCACAGCATATTAAACATTATTCTATGTTTGATCCAATGGGGAACTTGTTCTCCCGCGGTGGCCACTAGAGGCGCTACGAGTCCCGGGGCCAACAAACCTTCGCGT